TTAGGGCTGTTGTGCATAGGGTCGCTATGAGTCGCAAACGACCCGACGGCACATAACAACAACAACAACATACATACAGGGACCCTACCATATTTTATTGAGTGTGTCATCATTGCAATAAACTGGGCAAAGAGGTATAACACAATGTCACTACTTTCAAAAAGTTCTAGTGTGTTGGAATCAGAAAATTCGTAATTTTTAAGAGTAAATAATGACCATCATCTAAGGCAATTTGTGATTAATTGCAGCCAAATAAACTGTAGAAGTAATAGCAATCCCAGTAGGAGAAGCCACGGGTCACTGTCTTTGTTTCTACCCATTGGATGAGGACGGCCTTGCTCCGGTTGACTACTTTTCGAGGGGATCTGCAGGCTCAGACAGCGGTGGGTCAGCTCCAGGAGCCCGCAAGGCGACAGCGGAACCTGGAGTGGCGGCAGCGCCCTGCGAAGCACCAGCGCCCCCAGAAGCCACAGCAGCAGCGGCAGGTCCAGCGCGCAGTCCCTTCTCCCAGCCCGGCCCAGCTTCGTGCCCACGTGGGGCGCAGACAGCTCCACACCGCAGGAGCTCAGGTGCCAGAGAAACCAAAGAGAGGTGAGGCACCTCAGCACTTCACCACTCGAAAGGACTCATTTGCCAAGTCATGTTATCTTGTTTTATTGCCCCGTTCAGTGGTGGTGGTGTCTGTAGGCTAGTAATTCATAATGCCATCGCACTCCATGAACCCCTTGAACCAGACTATACAGAATCTTTATTATCCATCTCATACAATAATATGTAATATAGTTGTAACTTGCTTAAATGTCATATTGTTTTGATTCTATGAATACTAACAGCTCTGGTGGTAAAGTGGCAAGAAGGTGCGCTGAAATCCAGAAGGCAAATGGTTGGAGGCCACCAGAAGAAAGATGGGCAGTCTCCTGTGTGATTAACCGCCTCTGAAAGCCCACTGGAGGGTCACTATGGGTCGTTCCACCTCTACGGTACACAACACCACCGCCAAACTGATGCTGGTGACTGCAGCAATGGGCTCAAATGTGTCAGAGGTGGTGAGAACCGTACAGAACAGGGCTCAGATTGGTTCACCAGGTTGCTATGAGTCGTACTTGACTCAGTGGCACCTAACAACAATATCAAAACTGATTTTTTTAAAAACTTATTTTTAAAAAATCTTTCTACACTCAATTACATCATTATTAATTACAATCAAGCAGAGGCTTTTTCTAAAATGTTTTTCTCCTTTTCCATTAATTAGGACACAGTCTAACAAATGCTGTGGTGCGATTCTGCTCTGGCCTTTAAGGGTTGCTGAGTCCCAGTAATCCTCTCAGCAGTGGGTTTTTTATTGTTTTTCTGCTTTACTCATGACTTCATTCTCAAAAATAGTTATTGATCAAAGGTAACAGATACTACAAAATTGTACCTATAGCACACCAAAAAACCCCACACTGACCACAATCTTTGTAGTCATTTTAGTGTCACCTCTTTGGGTATCACCTGATGTCAGTACTCCTGTATCCACCTCATAACAACACTGCCTCCATCATTCCTGTGCTATTTTGTTCTCAGACCTTGCCTCCCTAAAATCTTTTTGTCCTGGGTGGGATGGCAGGTTTAAAATTTTTCAGTTGACCATGGAATATTGTTGAAAGGAAGAGAATCAGATAACAAGAAATAGACTTTGAGTCAGAAAACAGACATTACAGAAACAACATTTATTCTTACTCAGATAGAGGGCAGAGAGATGAGGTTTGGTTCTCCCATGCATGTCTGGGTTATGTCACTACACAGCTAGGATATCTAGCAGTGCATCTAAATCTGGGATTCTTAACTTTTGAGGTATTGAGAGGCAGTGAGCAAGGGAGCTTTGGTAAAGGAAATCTACACACAAATTTAATACAAATACAACTTAATTAACATCCTCCCACAACTCATCTGGTCTTCGCTCATTAGTGTTCAAGGCCTCAAACCTGTTCCTGAGATGATTCTGAAATTCAGGTGGGATGAAATTAAAGTTATATTTTGGCTCCTGTGGATTTGATTTAATTTTCC